GACTGATAGTTGTTTGGCAGCCAGATGGTGGAATGGCTTGAAAGCCAAAGTAAGAGGTTTTCATTTTGTCCAGGATGCCAGAGCTTCCCAATATATTGATCTCTCTCACTTGGGGCTTAGCACAGAGGGAGCCCCTAAACCAGGCTATTGTTGCCACAGGTATTCTTGCCAGTTTACCTCAGTGCTCAGGAAAAGTTCCTACATCTGCCATGATGGGGAAAGGTTGTGAAGGGCTGAACTAGGCAAAGGGGAACCAGGGAAGAATTTTGAAGACAGAATCAACATGATGAGAGCAATGTTTTAGGAAAATCTGCTCAAAATAAATACAGCTCAAATTCCAAATGGTTGTCAGTATCCACATAATTTCTTTACTGACATCACTTTCCTTTGACTCTAAATGTCACATTAGAGCCGAACCGGTTTGGCTCAGTAGATAGAGCGGCGGCCTGCGGACTGAAGGGTCCCAGGTTCGATTCCGGTCAAGGGCATGTACCTTGGTTGCTGGCACATCCCCACTGGGGGGCGTGCAGGAGGCAGCTGATCGATCTCTTTCATCGATGTTTCTAACTCTCTATCCCTCTCCCTTCTTCTCTGTGGAAAATCAATAAAAAATATTTAAAAAATAAAATAAAAGTTACATTAGAACTCACAGACCAGTTATCCAGGAATGAGAAGATAGCTTCCCATTTTACCCCCTAAAAATGCAAGCCGTTTTTTAAAAGCAAAGTGATAGAGCATAAGAATGGGTATAAGGAGAAAAGTGAGGGTTTTTTTAATGGAATAATCATCCATTCTCAGATGGTTATTAATTTTTTCTCTATTACCCAAAAGGTAGCATAAATTAATAACCATCTGAAAATGGACGATTACTCCATTAGCATCTGCTAAGCTATTTTTTTCCACTATAATGACTAGCAATCAGAATTAATTGTTTTCTTCAAGCTATGGAGTCTTATGGCCCATGTACTCAGACTTTTATTGCTTTTCAAAACTGGAAAAGAACTTAGACTTATCCAGCCCAAGACAAATCCAGGGTTGTTAATAACCTGCTTCCACTTGGTTTACAAAAATAATTGATAGCACACAGTTCCCAGAGCCAGGGTAAGTCTTTTGAAGGAACTGACTTAATAGCTTGTGGAATAGCAAATAATTTACTTTTAACAGTTCCAATCTGGAAAACGCCCAGTGGATACCCACTGACATCTTTGCCAAGGAGTATTCTTTTTCATGATTGAAATTCATAAGGTTGTGGACAATATTGCATTGCTCATGAGAGAGACTGACAAAATGGAAAATCTAAAAAACAGAACCCATTCGAAATGCAATTTGAAAAGGCAATGTCTGGAAATTCACAGCCTTCCAATAAAGGCCTTGGCACCGCCCCATTTCGAACGCAGCTCAGGAAGAAGTAGAAACTGGCTTGTTTCCTCCAGTACTTTCTACCTCTGCTTCTTCCTGGACCCGTGTGATGCTGAAATCGATGGCATCTTCTCCCCAGCAGATGTCTAATCAGTACTCTGAAGTGAGATGGCCTTTCATTCACAAAACTCACTTTTCTCCTTATACCCATTCTTAAAATCATAATTAGATTTTGGAGAAAGCTGAGCAAAATGATTCTCATGCTTAATTAAAATAACAAACTAAAATAAATTATGTATATTTTTTTCTCTGTTAAACAAGGATTAACGAGGAAAGAATAAGAGCTATTATAACATATAAATTTGCATTAATTAAATGTGTTACTACTGACAAGAACCAGCAACAGGAATCATGAAATACCTTAGAACCAAACCCTATTGTTTAGAAAAATTTGATAAATGATAAAAGAAACATCAAAAATCAATGGAGAAAATAATTATTTCATAAATTATACTGAAAACATTGTTAGCTGTTTAGAAAAAGATGTTTTTAAATATGTTTTATTGATTTTTTTACAGAGAGGAAGGGAGAGGGATAGAGAGGTAAAAACATTAATGAGAGAGAAACATTGATCAGCTGCCTCCTACATTCCTCCTACTGGGGATGTGCCCACAACCAAGGTACATGCCCTTGACCGGAATCAAACCTGGGACCTTTCAGTCCACAGGCTAATGCTCTATCCACTGAGCCAAACCGGTTAGGGCTAGAAAAAGATTTTTTTCAATTCTTAAAACATATCTACTTTCACATTGATTTAAAACTGAACAACAAAATGGTATTTATCTTCTCAGTCCCTGGGAAGGCTTTCTAGGCACTAAATTGGTGAAAGAGTAGTAAAAAAAAAAAAAAATCAGCTAAAAATAAAATGTTCGATACAATTATCTCTATAAAATTTTAAACTTCTCTATGTCAAACCAAAAATTAAACAAAAATTAAAAAGCAAACAAAAAGCAGTTAAAGTACTAATAAACATAACAAAAGTTTAATATACTAATATATAAAGAGCTCCCAGAGATCAATATAGCGAATTATAAGTTCTCTAAAAAACAGACATTAAGAGGCCACCAGGAATGCATTTACAGGGAAATACAGATCACTAATAAGCATGCAAAAAAAATATTCTAGTACTAATGGATGTTAAAATAAAGCATATTCGTTTATATATTAACAGATTTCTCAAAGATTAAAATAAGTTCTGGTAAAGATTGGAGAGCAATCATTTTCATGCAGACCTGGCAGACATAGGAATTGTATTAAGCTTTCTGGATAGCAGTTTGGCAATATGCATCAAGAAGTAATGAAAATATTCATGTCCTTCAACCAACTATTTCCACTTTTAGGACTTTCTTTGAAGAGATTAACCAGAAAGGCAGGCAGAGTTTTATTCAAGATTTTTTATTGCAGCATTGTCCATAAACAGGAAAAAACATTTCTAACAATAGAGAGATGGTCCTTTAAATCACAGTGGAGTGTGCATTGTTCAGGCGTGAAAATATTTTCAGAGCATTTGATGGCATGGTCAGAAGCATTTAGTGTGCTCTCGGTTGTATTGAAAAACTGAGCTATGAATAGAAAATATGTTGTATGGGAATACTTCATAATTTTATTGGCAGTTATCACCCTAATGCGGGGTGGTGGTGAATGTTATTACGTTTCCTTCTATTTTCCAACGTATCTACAATGAGCCCATTGTTACTTCATACTCACAGAAGGGTTAGCTCTCACTTTAAAAGAAGAACCGAGGTCACCCTCCTGTAAGGTTGGAGGATTTGATTTTCTTTGCTTGTTTAATCAGAGAAGCCTCGTTGAGAAATACTCACCCACAACCTCCGCAATCATGAAGACGAAGCATATTCCCGAAGCAGCCCAGAGTTTCCACTTGGCGTAGACTTGCTCGCTTGCCCTGTTCTCTGTGGCCTTGGCATTCACCTCTCCAGAACAGTGATCTTTAGTCACGGGTTTCTGCTGGTGATCCACACTGCACATGAGTTCGACAGAAGCAAGAAATGAACATGGTTGCCAACACCACTGACAGCCTTGGCCCTTCTCTGAACCACTGTGAGGACATTTGCTAGCTATCTAAGAGGCTGTAATTCACAGCTCCCTCTACAGGAAATATCATGTGTAAGGAACAAGCAAGAAATGTCTCTCTGAAGTCTCAAGTACTACAAGTTTTGCTCTTATTCAGTCAAACTCTTCTTCAGTCTCTACTACCAGTGATTAAGAGATATCAAAGGAGCAGGAGGAAGGAAGCAGATACATTTCCTTCCCAATAACTTCATTTTGAAAAGATATTGGATACTGTCCCACAAATCAAAAAAGGAGTGGGAACATCGTTAGATATGTGTCTGTGAGCCACCTGATGATTCGAATTCCCACCATTGCATGCCAGCACTGTCACTTTCTTCTCCACGACAACATTGTTAATAGATCATAGCAGTCTTTCCTGCTAAGTCCATGTGGACCCCAGAAACCTTCTTCACACAGCATTGCGCACAATCTCTACCAATCCATGAAAGTTATAATGGAAGTTGAGACTTACTCATACTTCCTATAGCAAGCAGTACATATCAGTTCTGCTAGTTCTGCTCACGCAGAAATCATTATTTAGAGCCGTTTATAGAATTATAGAAGTTCATAGATGGAGAGATTATAGATAACATTTAGTTCCAACCCCATAGTTTCTTAGCTGAAATAATTAGGGTTCAGAAAGGTTAAGTAATTGCCTGAGGACAAATAGCTGGGAAATTGCAGAGCTGGGATTCCAAGAATTCCTGTGTCTTCCAGGTCACCCCATTTTGCTTCCCTACCTGAACTTCAGTAAATCTAAAACCAGTCTTTACTGATGCAAATGTTGATGTTCACAGATCTTGAACTAATCATTTAATTGTTAAATAAACTTATTAGAAGCATTAATAAGATTATTAGAATTAAGAGCTTTGTATTCATTACTTTGAAAGATATAAAAACAGAAATAAATTAGCCACCATTGAAGAGCTGTTTCACTTGTCTAATCACCAGCTGGAATTAAAGATCTGCAGGCTTTGGCTTAGATGATGATTTTGATTCTGACTCTAATTATCATTATACTTATTTTTTCTGAATAAAAGAATATATTTATTATAGAAAATTGTGAATTACAGAAAAGCACAAACAGAGGGGAAAATCACTGGTAACCTTACCTGCAAGAGACAATTACTATGGACATGTTGTTGTTTAGCTTTGTAATATGCAAACACACTTTTTGTACAAATTAAAGACCATATTAATTAGGATTTTTTTTATTGCAAGTGCAGAAAACAAAGCTCATGGTAGGTTAATCAATAAGTGGGGATTATTGGTTCTGAAACTGAAAATGTCTGGAGGTAGGGGGCTTCAGACTGACTTATCAGGGCTCTGGATCCATTGCTTTAGTTCTAACTGTGCTTCAGGCTGGTTTTCCTCATGATGGTAGGGTGGTTGCCCAAGGCAGTCAGGGTTACACACTTGTAAGTGTCCTCATTTCCAACTGCTAAACAAGAGTTCTAAGTTGCACGCTGAGTTGGCCAAATGAAAACCAACCCCTAGACCCAGGGGAATTTGAATGGGCTGATTGACTCAGACCTTGTTCCAATCAGAATATTGGCTAAAGCCAGCCATGCTGACTCCTCCTGCTGAGAATGGGGTAAATACTGCCTAAATCACATGGTTGCAACTCACTGGGGATGGGCCAGAATGGATTGTGGATGAAATGACAGTGTCACCACGGGATCCTACCAAAGATACGGCTTTGGGACCTGATTCTTAGCTGTATTTATTGTTAACACTTCCTCAGTTTATTAAATATTCTACACCATTACTTTTAACCTATAGAGATGGTTATATTTAATATAGATATGTCACAACGTAATTAACTGAATTCCTATTATTGGACAATTCATTTTTTCCAATTATTTGCTCAGATAAGCCTCACTTTGATTCATATTCTTATATTTAATCTTTGCTCAATATATTATTATCTCCTTAAAGTGTAATCTTAGAAGGGAAATTGCTTGGTCAAAGAGTATCCATATTTTTGAGGACTTTGATGTATATTGCCAAGTTGACTTCGGAAGGTTTGTACCAATGATGTTAATAGCACTCAGGATTTTGAGCAGTTCTACAAAGTCTTCATATTGCAATAGGAACCACTTGGCAAGAGGCACATAAAGTATTTATATCTATACATTGTTGCCTTTGTAATGTGATATATGCCCTGATAATAAATAACCATATACTGTAATAGTGTGGGTCCCCAATCGTCATCAACTCAAAGGACCCTGAGAAGGCAGCATGAGCAAGACAGGGCCACCAATTGTTCTAGCACTGTTTATATGAGCACTGGTTTATTTTATATTTTCCATGAATCTTGTGGCCAAAGAAAGATAATTTATCCCTGGACAGTTTAGAAGGCAGAAATCCCACCAGAGTACAGCCTGTGGGCAGTGCCACAAGGGGAAAACGCAAGAACGCTGGCCAATTTTGACTTTTAAATACCACTTTCCTGTAGACCTCAAATTGACCAATATGGCTATCCTTTGGGCTGAGATTGAACTTGAAGCACTCAGCCAGACATCCATGGCTTAATAGGGTCCATGGACATGGGATGCAGAGTGTTCATATATGTGTATGTGTGTGTTTTATGGGTGCATGAAAAAGTCCACAGTCTTCATTGGGCTCCCAAAAGAATCTATGATTCTAAAAGTTAAAACCCCAAGTTAAAATGCATTCCCCAGCATCTCATTAGAGCAAAGTGGCCTAAGTGTCTAGATGCAGTGCAGGCTCTTAAGCTGAAGGATAATGTGAATCTCAAGAAGAATATTTTAAAAGATGGTTCTAAAAAGCAAATGCTATGATGCATCCAAAAAGTAAGTGTAAATTTGCTGCCACTGAATTAATCACTGTAGATTTCCACGTGTTATAATATAGTTGAGGCTCTGAAGAGCAGGAACCACAGACCAGAGCAAAGAAATTCACTACAGTATCACAGAGAAAAAGAGGGAGAAACAGGTTCCTGACTGGGAAAATGAGGGAACAGGATAATTTCTTCCGGGTCTAATTGTTTTTATTTGAAAAGAAAAGAAAAACAGGTTTGACCATTTTTATCATCACCATATCCTGGAAGCTAAACACATGTCTGAGGCAAATGAGACCCTATAACCATAAATGATTGGCTTCATGTGCCTCACAGAGTGCTAATGGTCTATTTTAATGAGAAGGAAAATACTGTTATTTCAATAATGTGGAGATGCTCTATTAATGTGTCCAAAGTGTTAACAATTTGTTGTACAAAATTTCTGCCTGACCTAACATGAGTCTTTATTGTTTATGAACTCAAAAAATCACATGTAATATTACTTTCTAAGAAAAATAATTCTTATAAGGTGAGATAATAGATGGTCTCGGTTCTTTGTCATATGTTTGCAAAGCAAAGTTATAAATATCCTGAGAGAGAAAGCTTTTCTTTGCAGCTGCTCAGACAGTTGATTCTATCAAACGTGATGTTGCCGCTCTTTGGAATATTAATTCGGTCCCATGAAACAAACAGCACTACACATATTATTAATGGATAAGTATTTTCTTCACTTCTGCTCCTAACATAAATGTATTTCAGATTTTCATTCATTCATCTCTATGCACTGAGTTTCTCTTTGCTCCCCACTTGGATTGAATTCCCCAAGCACGCAAAACTCATTCTTACATGTCTCTGTCTTTAGCCGGCAATATCTCCATCTGATCAGCTTTCCTTAACCCTACTTCCTGTGTAAGGTTTCTCTAACCTTACTCTAATTCCCTTTATTTTTCAGTGCTCAACCTATCGCTTCTGAAAAGCTTTGTCTGACTTCCATAGTCCAGCTAAGACCTAGGTTTCCTTGAGATATTCTCATTGAACACCCTCAGAATGACACTTACATGCTATTTTGTAATTGATTTTTTTCTTATATGTATTCCATATTAGACTCCAAGTTTCTAGAGGACAGAGATCTGGGACTAGGAATCCTTTCTTCTCCATTATATATCCAGGTGTGTTCAATCCGTAATTTTTAAATAAAGGAAAATGAATTAATATATTGTACATGGCACTGTGGGGGATATTCAAAGGAACTAGAACTATGTAGAACATTAAAACTCAGCTCTTTTTATTATAGGTGTGTATATTCAATAATGGTATTATATGATTAAGAAAATAGCAAATAATTTTCTTATATGAAGAGAAAAGCACTAGGTATGGATGGAATAAGGGTAGAGGGGTGAATTGGTAGAAGATGATGCAAAAGGTGAACAGATAACTTTAAGATCAATGTAACCGCAAATTTTGTCACATCGTTGAAAGCCTCCCTTCTTTCTAAATATAATGTAATAAAATATACTATCTATTTTAAAAGTAGAAGTAATTGAGGAAAAGAAAGGCAAACACATTAGATTGTATATGTCTATTTTCTGGAAAGAAATCTACAGATGGAAATACATTCATAAAGGGTGTCCTTCATGCTCTTAGGATACTTAAGACTCAAATCATGGAGAGTGTTGCATGTTTCAGGATATGAATTATACAAGTCTGCCAACAGTTTATAAAATTTTACAAAATGTCCCAAGTTGCACAGCAAAAGTTCCCCGTCTGAAGCTGTGGGGTCTAGGGATGTATTGAGGATTGAAGACAGAAAGCCGTGAAGCAGAAACAGATGGCTGTTACCTGTCTAGTGTGAAGGCATACATCTTGGTGGCTTTGTCAGTCACAAGATAAGTTCTTTCCGGGAACTCCATGGTGGCCAGGATGAGAGCTTTTGCTGCAACTGTAGTTATTCTTGTTGTTGTTGCTCTGCTGCTGCTGTTTAACGCACTGTCCAGTTTGGGAAGCAAAGCAGCATTACAAGTATTCACACACTTTCCAAAGATAAAAATAAAAGGGCTTCCGAGACTTAATAGAACAAGCCTCCTACATCAGTGTTCTTGTAGGTCTGCTGAACTTACAGCCTCCTGGAGTACCACCTGCCCTCATTCTCTCACCCACAAGTTCCTTCCTAGGGAGACCTGCAGGGAGGATCCCATGGTGTGTGTGTGTGTGTGTGTGTGTGTGTGTGTGTGTGTATGTGTGTTCCGTGCTATCTGATTCCACTTGCTTTCTAAGAGGCAGAGGGCTCAGGGCTTCCTTCTAATTGCTGATGTAGAGATTTGGTCTTCAGAGCACACCTGAGTGATCTGCAAACAGCTACCCTCTGTACAATAATCTCATTTTTTTTCTTTTTTGGGGGGAGGGTTCTCTCTCTCTCTCTCTCTCTCTCTCTCTCTCTCTCTCTTTTCTCCTGCCATTTAGTTCTAAGATGACCTCTAAGCAGCTGTCAGGATTGACTTCCCTTCTCCTAGGACCATTTTGGGATTTCAGTACTGAGCAGAGGACATGGGTCATTAGTCACTAAAGTCTGTAGACTGAAACCGTTCCTGGTGCGGCAGCTTTGAAACCCTTTTGACAGGCGGGAGGAGGGCAGACTCAGCTTCTAAGTAAACAACAGCCCTCAGCCATACAAGAACCAGAATGACCTGATTCACCAAGGAAACCCTGCCAGGCAAACCAATACCAACTCTTAGGAAAGGAGTTTTCTGAGCTGATCCCAGACACCTTCAACCACAGACTCCTAGGAACATTTGATTTTACTACAAGGAACTTTCCTTTCCAAATAAGGAAAGATATGATAGCCTCAGGGGAACAGGCCTGTGTATGTGGGCCAAAGAGCATCCAGGGCCTCTAGGGATGCATGCAAGATGGGCAATGCTGAGTGGGAAAGGGGGCATGAACCCGACCATGGAGTCCTTTTATTCTTTTCCTTCTGTCGACACTCACTTCTAGTGAGAAAACTCAGAGCAGTGTGGTCCAGAGTAGGCCAGTGACCCAACATCCTGACAGTTTGCCCATCTTGATGAGTACAAACCTCAATGACCCAATACAATAAATATTGTCCCCAGAAGGAGAATGGGCCTCAATGGCATTTGCAACAGCTGGTGAGGGGGAGAAGTTGTTTTTGGCTGAGAGGGATAAGGCAGGCCTCCTATCACATCTGTGGTGGAGCTGTGCCACTTCTGTGAGATTTCAAACACTATATTAATTCTATGGTGCCCGACCGGTGTCGCTCAGTGGGTGAGCATCTGTCTATGAACCAGGAAGTCACGGTTCGATTCCCAGTCAGGGCACACTCCCAGGGTTGTAAGCTGGATCTCCAGTAGGGGGCATGCAGGAGGTAGCCCATCAATGATTCTTTCTCATTATTGATCTTTCTATCTCTCTCTCCCTCTCCCTTCCTCTCTGAAATCAATAAAAATATATGTTTTAGAAAAATTAATTCTATGGTCTTTTATTTTTTTTAATTATTTTATTGCTTAAAGTATTACAAAGAGTATTACATATGTCTCCTTTTTTTTCCTGCCCTTGACAATCTCCTGGCCTCCCCTAACCCCAGCGTCTTATGTCCATTGGTTATGCTTATATGCATGTATACAAGTCCTTCAGTTGATCTCTTCCCCGCCTCCCTCCTGCCCCCCAACCCTCCCTGGCCTTCCCGCTGCAGTTTGACAGCCTGTTGAGGCAGCTCTGCCTCTGTATCTATTATTGTTCATAAGTTTATAATGGTCTTTATTATCCATGAATGAGTGTAGGACCCATTGGCTAAAAGATTATTAACTTTGCTCTGACACATGGATATGAGAGAAATGGCTCTGAGAAGCCATTTTTCCTTGCCAGAGAAGTTTTAGGTCTTGTGTTAGCAGAATAAAAAACAAACTAATTCCTTCTCACATACTTAACTTTGCAAAATAATACCTTATTCTGGAGAGGCAAAAGTAGGAATCCTGAAAAGAATTATGCTTCCATCCATGTGACACATTGCCACATGTTACAGCGTGAATCATTTGTGAGTAGTTTCTAGCACATGTGAGAGAAATAGAATTCAAGTGAATGAATGTCAAAAATGGAGGAAACTGCTTAAAATTGGGTTGAAATCCATTAAGGATAAGTGCAGGGAAGAAAAGCAATATTCATATGTAGGAAAGAGAATATTTGGCTACAAATATCAACAGAAAACAAATAATGTGGAAGTTTGAGATTTGAACAGAGTTTTGTCACTGGCCTGTGTATGGATGCACAGGAATATTTACATCTGTTTGTGATTCTGCGAGGATAGAGATACATACTATGTTGTTAAAATGAGTTGCTTAGTGATACAAGGATAGAAGGAGGATCAATGAGAAGGGTCAGGTAAGACTGACTGGGGCAGGATAAGGTGGAGATAGAAAAAGAGGGCATGGGGATCCAAGTAAAAAAGACAAGAATATAAAATATTGTGCCCCCAAAATGTATTCTTTCATCTCTCTTATTTATGTGAAAGTTGAACTATATAAAATTGAAATTTTTTAGTACCAGCATGGCCTATAATAAGCAATTTCATTCCATTGGACTTAAATATATATTTACACATGTCTACACACCAATCCTATCTAATAAAAGACAAAAAGGGTAATTGACCATACCTTTGCTACACTTCCCATTAGCTAATCAGGGCGATATGCAAATTAACCATCAACAAAGATGGCGGCCAACAGCCACACAGCTGAACCAAGCAGGAGGCTTGCTTGCTCCAGTGATGGAGGAAGCCAAGGTTCCCCGCCCTCTGCGGCCTGGCTTTGAGCTCCGAAAACAACAAAGTTTCAGTTATAGAAGCTAAACAAACCACAGATACCTGCTTTCAGCAGGCCATGGCCTCAGAGCTGGAGCAAGCAGGAGCCAGCTCTCAGCTCCAGTGATGGCAACAAAGTTTCAATTATAGA